ATACTATTTACGCACAAGCATAAAGAAATTACATATATTAGAAACAAACACTTTCTCATTACTTTATTTTCCAGATCACCAGATTGGGCCACAACAACGCGTAGCAGGGGCCGGCTAGTCTAACATAAACAGGCCGGCAGAACGTTGGATAAGCAACAATGTTGGATAATAAGGAGGGATTAAGGAAAAGCTTATTAAACATCAAATTACATTATGATTTTACAAATTAAGCACCAAAACATCATGTTTCCCTTCCCTCATGGCTGCCTGGGACTCGGGGCTCTGGGTACGCAGCATGGAGGCGCCTCCACTGGGCTGCTAGGAACTCGCACAGGAGGGATTCTGTGTGTGCGTGCACGTGTGTATGTGTACACACATATCTCTACACACTTCAACTCCCAGAAAGCTCACCCATACTGAGTTATGGGAAGAAATTATGGGAAATGAAGTCCCGTATTCAAAGAAAGAACAAAAACAGGAAACACACGCTCTGTGAGTTACGAAAGGCTGCACAATCAAAGAACTCCCGACAGATGGCAATCCATTTTTACTTTATAGCAACCCTGGGCTATAATATCTACAATAATAATATCTATCATAATAATATTTATAACTCTATAATAATAATATCTATGTCTGTCGAAGGCTTTCATGGCCGGAATCACTGGGTTGTTGTAGGTTTTTTTCGGGCTATATGGCCATGGTCTAGAGGCATTCTCTCCTGACGTTTTGCCTGCATCTATGGCAAGTATCCTCAGAGGTAGTGAGGTCCTCACTACCTCTGAGGATGCTTGCCATAGATGCAGGCGAAACGTCAGGAGAGAATGCCTCTAGACCATGGCCATATAGCCCGAAAAAACCTACAACAACCCAATATCTATGTCTGTAATAATAATAATATCTATAGGCCTATTATAATAATATTTATATGTCTATAATATCTATATGTCTATAACAATAATATCTACATGTCTATAATAACATCTGTATGTCTGTAATAATAATGTCTATAGGAAAAGGTAAAGGTTTCCCCTGACATGAAGTCCAGTCATGTCTGACTCTAGGGTGTGGTGTTCATCTCCATTTCTAAGCCGAAGAGCTGGCGTTATCCATAGACACCTCCAAGGTCATGTGGCCGGCATGACTGCATGGAGCGCCGTTACCTTCCCACTGGAGCGGTACCTATTGATCTACTCACATTTGCATGTTTTCGAACTGCTAGGTTGGCAGAAGCTAGGGCTGACAGCGGAAGCTCACTCTGCTCCCCGGAATCGAACCTGCGACCTTTGGGTCAACAAGCTCAGCGCTTTAACCCACTGCGCCACCGGGGGCTCCCAATAATGTCTATAATATTATTATAGGCATATAGGTATTATTATTATAGATATATAGATATTATTGATAGACAGATATTGTTATTATAGACCTATAGATATTATTATAATAATGTCTATATGTCTATAATAATATCTATAGGTCTATAATAACAATATTTGTCTGTCAATAATATCTATATCTGTAATAATAATACCTATATGCCTATAATATCTATGTCTATAATAATAAAATATCTATTTGTTGTTCATTCATTTATTATTATTATTATTATTATTATTATTATTATTATTATTATCTTTATTTGTACCCCGCTAGCATCTCCCGTAGGACTCAATGCGGCTCACATAGGCCGAAYCCTCAAAACACAATACAACAAAACATAATACAACAACAATACCAGAAGCAAATCGAAACGGTTAAGCAAATTAAACAACAACAATAACAATACATCGGGACACTTTAAAACTGGGCCGGCCAGAGCAGTGGGTACAGGATTAAAAGTGCTGAAGTGGCAGGAGGAATGTAGGATTATAAAGTAAGTGCYATGTGCYGTGTGCAGCGATCTTAATTCTACTAAAGTGCTTCTAGGACTTGGTGATGGGGTTCCTAATCTGAGAAGGCACATCGGAACAGCCAAGTTTTWAAATTCTTTCTGAAGACTGCCAATGTAGGGGCCTGTCTAAGATCTTTTGGGAGGGCGTTCCAAAGTCGGGGGGCCGCCACAGAAAAGGCCCTGTCTCGCGTCCCCACCAAGCGCGCTTGCGACGCGGGTGGGATCACGAGCAGGGCCTCGTGATCGTCTCCGACTCTTCGTGACCTCATGGACCAGCCCATGCCAGAGCTCCCTGTCGGCCGTCACCACCCCCAGCTCCTTCAGAGTCAAGCCAGTCACTTCAAGGATGCCATCCATCCATCTTGCCCTTGGTCGGCCCATCTTCCTTTTACCTTCCACTTTCCCCAGCATAATTGTCTTCTCTAGGCTTTGCTGTCTCCTCATGCTGTGGCCAAGCGTGATCCCTGGGTAAGGCAATGGCAAACCACCCCAGTATCCTTGCCAAGAAAACTAAATGGACCAGTAAAATATCTATATCTCTGCAATAATAATAGAAATATCATATCTATAATAATAATATCTATACACCTATAAAATATCTGTGTCAATATTAATAGATATTTTTAATATTAAAAATATCTATACCTCTGTAAATTTTTGTGTGTGTGTCAGGAGCAACCTGAGAAACTGCAAGTCGCTTCTGGTGTGAGAGAATTGGCCGTCTACAAGGACGTTGCCCAGGGGATGTTGCCTGGATGTTTTACCATCCTTGTGGGAGGCTTTTCTCATGTCCCTGCATGGGGAGCTGGAGCTGACAGAGGGAGCTCAACCCATTGCACTACCAGGGGCTCCACCTCTATAATAATTATATGTTAATCCCACAAACGAACATTACATGTTTATTTATATTGATAGAAGACATTGTGGAATGATTGCAGCTTGACACCATTTTAACTGCCATGGCTCAAGGCTATGGAATCCTGGGAGTTGTAGTTTTATACGCTTTTGAGCCAAAGAGACGCTCCCAGGTCGAACTGCCTTAATGCGGTGTCGAACTGCATTAACGCCCCAGTGTGGACGCAGCCACTCACTCACCACGTCCGTCAGGGGCACCGCGGGCAGCTGCATGCTCCTCCCCTTTCGAACCTGGACGGAGAAGCTCGAGATGACGTTTCTCCCCCTCGCGCCGGCTGACACGTCACCGCCCTTGGCCCCGCCCAGTCCAAAGGGGGCGGAGAAGCTCTGCGTCTAAAGCCCGGCCACTATATCCTTCTTGGACTGTATTTCCCGAGTGTATGTCTTGCTCTCACTTACTGCGCAGGCGCAAGGAGGCGGAGCGCGCGGAAGTGAGCGACTGCTCGCGCGCCGTCAGCGGAAACCATGGCAACGAGTCGTCAACAGAGAGGCTTCGCAGAGCGAGAAGAGCTTGGCGCCGGTTGCGAAGGGGAGGGAAGCGCGGGAAAGTCCAGGCCCGGCTTTAGAGAGAGAGGGAAGGGTGAGGGAGTGATTACTTCAGGGGCTCTCTGGAAAAAACTGTGGCAACTGGAACAATTAGATGGTCAGGATGGTGGGGGGGGGGATGATGGGAGTTGGAGTTGGATGCTGTGGTAGTGATGTGTTCAGGGAATCCTTGGGTGCATCTCTATTGTTGTTGTTTACAGTCGCTTTCGACTCTTCGTGACCTCATGGACCAGCCCACGCCAGAGCTCTCTGTTGGCCGTAACCACCCCCAGCTTCTTCAAGGCCAAGCCAGTCACTTCAAGGATGCCATCCATCCATCTTGCCCTTGGCCGGCCCCTCTTCCTTTTTCTTTCCATTTCCCCCAGCATCATTGTCTTCTCTAAGCTCTCCTGTCTTCTCATTATGTGCCATCACTCTCATCACTCTCGCAAATGCAGTTGGTGGGGATGAGAGACAGGGCCTTCTCGGCAGTGGCCCCCCGTCTGTGGAACTCTCACCGTAAGGATATCAGGTTGGCCACCTCCCTCCTGTCCTTTAGGAAACAACTGAAGACCTGGCTCTGGGGCCAGGCGTTCGATTAGAGGCCAGCGGCAATAGGAAAAGGAAACTTGGCTTTTTGCGCCATGGATTCTCCCAGCTCGGCTTGGTTTTACTGGCACGTTAATCTATTAATTTATTGTTAAATTTTATTGATGATGTACAATGTTTTAAAATGATTTTATTGTGAGTTGTAGTTTTTATGGTATTTATGTTGTTAGCATCCTCTGATGCTCATGTGAGGCTGCGCTGAGTCCCCCTTGTGGGGAGAAGGGCGGGATATAAATATATGAAATAGTATAAATAATAATAATGTGGCCAAAGTACTTCAACTTGGCTTCTACTATCCTTCCCTCCAATGAGCAGTCAGGCTTAATTTCGTGAAGTATGGACTGGTTGGATCTTCTCGCAGTCCAAGGCACTCTCAGAACTTTCCTCCAACACCACAGTTCAAAAGCATCGATCTTCCTTCACTCAGCCTTCCCTAAGGTCCAGCTCTCACATCCTTAGGTTACTACAGGGAATACCATGGCTTTAACTATGTGGATCTTTGTTGCCAGTGTGATGTCTCTTCTCTTCACTATTTTATCGAGATTGAACATTGCTCTCCTTCCAAGAAGTAAGTGTCTTCTGATTTCCTGGCTGAAGTCTGAGTCTGTAGTAATCTTTGCATCTAGAAATATAAAATCTGTCACTGCCTCCACATTTTCTCCCTCTATTTTCCAGTTGTCAGTTAGTCTGGTTGCCATCATCTTGTTTTTTTATGTTTAGCTGCAACCCAGCTTTTGCACTTTCTTCTTTCACCTTGGTTAGAAGGCTCCTCCTCGCTTTCAGCCATCAAAGTGATATCATCCTCATATCTAGGGTTGTTAATGTTTCTTCCAGCAATTTTCACCCCAGCCTTACATTCCTCAAGCCCCGCACATCGCATGATGTGTTCTGCGTACAAGTTGAATAGGTTGGGTGAGAGTATACAACCTTGCCATACACCTTTCCTAATCTTGAACCAGTCTGTTGTTCCATGGTCAGTTCTTACTGTTGCTACTTGGTCCTTGTACATATTCCTCAAGAGAGAGACAAGGTGGCTTGATATGCCCATCCCACCAAGAACTTGCCACCATTTATTATGATCCACACAGTCAAAGGCTTTAGAATAGTCAATATACAGAAATAGATGTTTTTCTGGAACTCCCTGCCTTTCTCCATTATCCAGCGGATATTGGCAATTTGGTCTCTCGTTCCTCTGCCTTTTCTAAACCCAGCTTGTACATCTGGCCACTCTTTCTCCATGTACTGCTAGAATCTTCCTTGCAGGATCTTGAGCATTACCTTACTGGCATGAGAAATAAGGGCCACTGTACGGATGTTTGAGCATTCTTTAGCATTTCGCTTTTTTGTTATGGGGATATAAGTTGATTTTTTCCCAGTCAGATGGCGTTTGCTGGAGGTGTATCTCTATACTGTACGATTAATGTACCTTGGCTGCCATGACTCTGCTATGGAGTCAAGGGAGTTGTAGTTTGGTGAGGCTGAGAAGGCGAATTTCTGTGAGTCCAGAGCATTGAGCCATTGCATTTAAAATGATGTCAAACTAAATTAACTCTACAATATAGACTCACTCCTAAGGTGCATCTACACTGTCAATGTAATGCAGTTTGAACCCACTTTAACCCCCCTGCCTCAGTGCTGTGGAATTGTGGGCTTTGTAGCTTGCAGCATTCTTTGGCAGAGAAGGCTGAAGGCTACAACTCCTTGGCATTGAGCCACAGCAGTTAAAGTGGTGTCACACTGCTCTAATTCTACACTGTAGATCTACCCCTAGTTTGCTAAACCAGCCTCTCACCTCAGGCAGCCCTAGGATTTCAAGGGGAAAATGAACATAGAAAATGAGAACACTGCTCTGTAAAACAGAAATGGAAAAGCACTGCTCTTGATTCAGTGCAAGTGTGGAAACAGTTGTTTCATGATATTTTTAACATTACTGGGATTTCATGCAATCCTGGTGCGGTTTGGAAGAGAATGGACCATGGACGATGGGACTTGCATATGGGAGTTGTAGTTCACCTGCACCCACTGACCCACTGAACACAGCTGATATTGGATCTAGACTAAACTTGAAGCACAGACAAACAATGCCTTTCTCAAATAACCCGGGCACTGCCGGATCCCCAAGCTAGTACAGGAATAAAATTGAATTTCACCATTTCACAAATAAAAGTCATACTGAATAGCAATCTCAGAGGGGAAAAAAGTTGGGAACATATTTGTCTTTTTTGAGGCCTATGGTATGTTTTTTGTGGCTTTACATGCATAATAATAATATTATAAAGTTTTAAAACCAAGGAACACTCACGGTGTTCTGAAGTTTGTTACTGTTATATACCTTCAAGTAATTTTCAAATTATGACAACCTTAAGGTGAGTCTATTATAGGATTTCTGTGGCAAGATTTGTTTGGAGGTAGTTTGCCATTGCCTTCCTCTGAGGCTTGAATTGCTCAAGGCTGCCCAGTGGGTTTCCATGGGTATGTATAGATTCAAAACCCGGTTTGCCAGCGTCCTAATCCAAGATACCACTAACCCACGTGGGCTCAGAGATAGCATAAGAAAAGTCTTGGATTGAATATTCTACTTTACCAGGACCCACTACTGCCTGGAACCAGTACTGTTAAGAGTAGTTTCATCTGGCTTCGGAGAATTTTCTTTTCTGAAAAAAGTGCTTCTCCAGAAGGACCATCTACTGAGTATCACATATTTTGGTAGGTTGTTTTGAAGTCACTGTGTAGAAGTCTTGATGAATTTGTATGTGATTGCTGTATGTTCTCTGCCTCAGCATAAAATCCCCATCTGCAATTCCAATCTGCCTTTCAGGATAGGCAATGGTGGAAGAAGCTGGGAGTTATAATCTAATAACATATGGAGAACCATGTAAACCCTCCTCCTGCTCTATATGTTTGATGTTTTCAAAATAATCTATGAGATTCCTTATCATTGCTGACCTGGGCTTCTGAGAGTTGATGTTCAAAATATCTGGTAGACCAGAGGTAGAGAATCCGTCATCTAGACATCTAGATAATAAAATGGGGGGAATGAATCAATTTTTTTAATGAATAATACATGTGGCATTTTGTAAAAGCTGTGGATATATTTGTCAAATTCAAGAACCAGGACAGTCAGGTATGCTGAAAGTTTGCTTACAGTATTTTATTGTAACTCCCCTCTCATTTTTGCGATTCACAGACCTGTGCAGTTTGTGTATAAGAGAGAGTAATAGAAATAAGCTATATCTTGAACGTTATATGTTATTTTCAACAGAAACCCAGCAATGTGTTGTAAATAATGCTCACCCTTATTTTTAACTGAATAAACTCTTAATTCTATATCACTCCTTCTCTATCTTTTTTCTAGGCACCATAAGACGCTGTAAATTTCAAGAATAGGAGGCTAGAAAAAAGAAGCAAACATGCCATCAGAAACAGGAAAAACAGATATGGAGAGGATTGGCCTCTTTAGTGAAATGGAATATGTTACTATTGGGGATAAATATGTCTCACCATATAGCCGTAAGTATATGTCATCCACTGTCACTATCTGCAGAGCTGTTTTTTGTTTTTGAGGAAGTATTCAAAATATTAATATTGTAATATTAATATAGTATTTGATTATTAACATGAAGAAAGGTGAAACTAAAATAATTATGGTATTGTTGGATAAAATAATTTAAAATACAGATTGAGCATCCCTTATCAGGAATTCCAAAAACAAAAATACTCCAAAATCCAACTTGGATGGTTAAGATAGTGACACCAATATACACAGACCAATATAAACTCTTGTATATAAAATTATCTTTAGTTTATGTGTATAAGGTGCATACGAAGTGGAAATGAATTTCGTGTTTAGATTTGGATCCCATCTCTAAGATACCTCATTATGTACATGTATAAAAATAAAGGAATTCCAAAATCTGAAAATATAGGAAATGCAAAATATTTCAAAGCATTTTGTATAAGGAATTCTGAATCTGTTTTGTTTTCCTTGATCTTTTATGGTAGCAAGGCTCACACTAGCAAAAAACTACAGAATTATTGACCATAACAACTTTGCCAGTGTTGTGAAGAAATTGCATTTGTATAGGACAGGCATGGGCAAACTTCCTAACTTGGGGGCTGAGTGCTAGCACTCCCTGCTAGAAGAACTGGCTGCCCAGTGATTGATTGATTTACAGCATTTATATTCCGCCCTTCTCATCCTTATATACTCAGGGTGTATCACAATGCACACATACATAGCAAACATTCAACACTGTTTTTAGACATACAAGACAGACATACAGATAGAGGTATTTGGGCATTTTCCAACTTTGTCGCCTCTAGGTTATGCTCAATTCCAGCCACAGGAGGGTTTTGTTGCTCCAACCGCTATGACAATGAGCCCTTTTGATAACAGAAATGTCCCTCCTTTGTTCTTTGATTATTGGCATTTTTATGGTGTCATAAAATACCATCCTGCTAAGCGGTGCCTAATTTCTCTACTCATAATTCAGCTGTTTTCAAACTGCTTAGATGGACAGTGAGCTAGGCTAACAGTCGGGCACTCAATCTGACTCAGGCTTTGAACTTGCCAACTTCTAGTCGGCAATGATCTATTATTACTGATGATTAACCAGCTGTGCTATAGCCCGACTGGTGATGGAAGAGAAGGAGGAAGGAAAGAGAGGAGGAAGGATGAAAGGGAGGGAGGGAAGGATGGAAAGAGGAAGAGGGAAAGAGGGGAAGGAGGAAGAAAGAGAGAAGGAAGGAAAGAAAAGGGAAGAAAGGAAGGAAGCAGAAAGAGGGAGGAAAGAGAAGGAAGGAAAGAATGAAGAGGGAGGGAAGGACGAAAGGGTGGAAGGGAAAGAAGGATGGATGGATGGATGGATGGATGGATGGATGGATGGATGGATGGAAGGGAGGGAGGGAAGGGAGGGAGGGAAGGAGGAAGGAAAGAGAAGGACGGAAAGACAAAAAAGAAAGAAGAAGAGGGAGAGAGGGAAGGAAGGATGAAAGAGTGGAAGGGAAGGAGAAAGAGGAAGGAGGAAAGAAAGAGACAACAAAGGAAGAAAAGGATGGTGTGAGAGAGGTAGTATAGGAGCATTTTCAGGCATTTTCTTTTCCAGGTGACCAGATTCTAGGCCTGCAGACTCCCACATGGAGATACTTTTGTGTATAGTATGGCATCCTTCTCTAGGGTAAAGGTAGATTTTCTGATACTGTTCAAATCTATTCCAATTTTTTTTCTTTGCGAAAAATCTTTACTGTTTTTTTTAAATGCACTTTAATGCGTTTTTAAATGTTTTATATTTCTACTGTTTGAATTTTTATTTGTCTTGGAGCCCTTATTGGCTTGGAAGCAATATAAAAATATATTAAATAAACTAAAGAAAGAAAGAAAGAAATAAGAGGAAACCGTCAAAAAATCTCTAATCCTGCTTTGGGGGTTGTTATGGGACTCTTATAATATACTACAATAGCAGGTATTTTCCAAATTACTCCTTTTCAGCTTGCCTGCAAGTTATATTTTTTCTTAAAGGTCTTTGTTATGTGCAGATTCAAGTAACTGGACATCTCCCCTATTGAAAATTAAGAAAAGCCTTACCAATACTGACATAAATTAATTCATTTTACAGGCCCTTTCAATGAAGCTGCAAGCAAAAACAAGCAAATGTTGCCAGGAGGCAGTAAAGAAAAGTCAGCCACCCAGGCTGGTTATTTTGATCCTGTATTTTCAAGAATAATGGAAGGTGAAAGTTATATTAATCCCGTTCAGATAAGGAGACGATATCGAATGGCAGAGGCAAAGAAAAACCTGGGAGACAAAGCCTTCCTCCCCAGTAATGGTGATAAATATCCGTAAGTGCTGGGGAAATGTAGCTAATCTGGGTGTTTATACAGCATAGTTTTTTTGGTGATACAGTATTTTAAGTTAAAAAATACTAGCAAGATAGCTTGGGTGTAAACTTGCTCCCCAGTAGCCCCAGATCTGGTATGTTGGTGCTGAATTTGTGGTCATTGTTAGGATGGCCCAGGAGTGCATCAATGTCTATAGCAGCAGATGTCTCACTGTCTGACCTCCTGGCCATTCCAGGTACCTCTGTTGACATCAGAACAGGGACCTCACATGATCAGGAAAAGGGGGAGGTGGTCGCACCTGGAATACTGTGTCCAGTTATGGGCACCACAATTTCAAAGAGAGATTGACAAGCTGGAATGTGTCCAGAGGAGAGCAACTAAAATGATGAAAGGCATGGAGACCATACCCTATGAAGAGCATCTTAAAGAGCTAGGAATGTTTAGTCTGCAGAAGAGAAAGTTGAAAGGAGTCATGATCACCATGCATAAATATCTGAAATGTCATAAGGAGGAGGGAGCAGGCTTGTGTTCTCCTGCCCTGGAGACTAGGACTTGGAGCAATGGATTCAAATTACAAGAAAGAAGATTCCACCCTGAACTTCAGGAGGAACTTCCTGATCATGAGACCTGTTCAGTAGTAGAACTCTCTGTCTCAGAGTGTGGTGGAAGCTCTTTCCTTGGAGGTTTTTAAACAGAGGCTTGATGGCCTTCTGTCAGGGGTACTTTGAATGTGCTTTTCTTGCATGGCAGGAGTTGGAGGGACTACATGGCCCGTGCAGTGCTAACAGTGGGAGCTCACACAGCTCCCCAGATTCGAACCGCCAACCTTTCAGTCAGCAAGTTCAGCAGCTCAGCAATTTAACCCGCTGCACCACTGAGCAATTACTAAATGGAATAGTAAATGGAAGCATCAATTGCCAACAAATATAAGAGGGACCGCCTCACCCCCTACCAATCCCAGAGATCCCTTCATTCTGAGGACCAAGATTTATTGGAAGTTCCCAGTTTTAAGACCTTGCGTCTAACAGCAACCAGACAGCAGTGGCACCATTACTCTGGAACACTCTGCCACCTGAAGTCCGTGCCTTGCAGGACTTATCAGCTTTCCGCAGGGCATGTAAGACATATTTGTTTCGACAGGCTTTTGATCTTTGATATTGCTGGGTTTTTTTTATTGTTTTAGATTTTAGTCTGTTCTTGTAAGCCGCTCCGAGCCCTAGGGGAGTGGCGGCATATAAGTTTGAATAATAAATAAATAAATAATAAGATTAAATTGGGGGGGGGGGGAGCACCAAATGCTGTCAAATACAAAATTGCACCATATTTTTCTGTTTTATGTATTATTTTTCATGTGTGTCTTATATATTATTTTTCATGCAGTACGTGTGTGCTTTGAGAAGTAAGTCTCACTGAATTCAGCGGAGCTTCTAGATAAGTGGCAACATTTTTTGGTTCCAACCCTTAATTTTAGTAGCTTCTTAAGATAGGTAGCCTCTCCAGAACGAATACCTTGATTCTAACATGCCGTGCGAACAAATAGCTTATTGTAGTCAGTTTCAAATAAATCTGTTTTTGTATTTCAGTTGTGGTGTAGGAACTTACTATGGAACAATTGGAGGTTCATTTCCTTATTTTAACCCACAAACAAAAGACAAAGTTGCATACGTTCCACCTGGCAAGAATCTGTATACCAATCCTGGGAAGAAAGGAACCGGCTATGGGTAAAACATTCTATAATTGTTATCTGAGGATTTTGTAAGTTTGTAAAGTCTGTTGAATACTGGTGACATCACTGTTTTATATTCTCCATTTAGGTATCCAAATGTCACCATAGGTAAACAATATTCACACTCGGTTGAATTATTTGACGCTGGCAGGATAAACTTTAAGGTAACATTGTGTTGGATTTCCATTTAATTTTTGATCATATATTGACAATGTTCCTTGTTCTAGATCAGTGGTCCACAAACGTTTTAAACGGAGGGCCAGATCACAGTCCCTCAAACTGTTGGAGGGCCGGATTATAATTTGAAAAAAAGCATGAATGAATTCCTATGCACACTACACATTTCTTATTTGTAGTGCAAAAAAACCACTTAAAAACAATACAATAATTAAAATGAAGAACAATTTTAACAAATACAAACTTATTAGTATTTCAGTGGGAAGTGTGGGCCTGCTTTTGGCTGATGAGATAGGATTATTGTTATTGTGTGCTTTCAAGTCATTTCAGATTTAGGTTGACCCTGAGCGAGGGCCGGGTAAATGACCTTGGAGGGCCGTATTCGGCCCCCGAGCCTTAGTTTGAGGACCTCTGTTCTAGATCATCAGAACTTACTGCATATACTCATGTATAAGTCGCAGACAGGTTTTGGGGCCAAAATTATGGATTTTTATATGATCCGTGGTTAAGTCAAGGGTCATTCTGTGACAAAGGGAAAGCATCAATGCCATCTCAGGGGTCCAGTTGCCTCTAACCGCTGTTGTCATTTCCCCATACATTGAAAAAGACTAGAAGCAGTGCCATAGTCTTTAGGTTCTCCTGAAAGGGAGTAACTTTTCTTTTCACCACTTTACTCAGCTAAGGGGAATGGTTACTTTCTTGATAAAAAGTTAAAGTACACTATTCACATTGACCCATAAAAAAGTCAATCCAGGTTTTTTTTGGGTTGATTTAATGACTAAAATTTCTAGACTTATATATGAATATATAGGGTATTTTATTCTGTGCTTCAGAAGACTACGTAAGCACATGTATGTATGTGTGTGTGTATATATATTTACACACACACACACAGATAAACGAGGCTAGATCAAAAAGTAATGCCTCCACCGCTTAAACTTGTATTCCTTTCACAGCTACTGGACTATCTATGCATGATATGATAGAGGTAACCTTACTCTACTCATATAGTCTTTTCTTTTTCCCATTGACTGATTAGAACCATGAAGCTAAAAGAGTCATCATTTAGTTTCTGACCAAAGAAGGTTGCGCACCTAAGGAAATCCGTCATCACTTGAAAAATATTTATGATTTGGCCCCTTCTGACTTTGACCTGCTTGAACCTCTGACAACCTACGTGGTTTCAGATTCAAAGATTTGAATGACTTCATAAAATCATGGGTCATGAAGAAAAACCCTGAATTTTTCCAAAATGGTTTTGATGCCCGAGTTAAACAATGGTGCAAATGTGTCCAAATCAATGGTGTCTATTGAATGGTAGTTTTGGGTACAGGACAGTTCAGGCTACGATCTGTGGCAACTTCTGCTGCTCTATATTCATTTTTGACGTTTTTATGACACAGGAGGCAAAACTTTTTGACCCACCCTTGTGTGTGTGTGTGTGTGTGTGTGTACACACACTCACTCACACACACACACACATATACATGTATAATTTGTTTCTTTCAGTGCATTTGCTGATTCAAAAAGGGAATTGCTTGTTCTGTTGTGACTAATGTTACATAGCTATGTGATAGCATTTATTGTGTTATGCGCTGTTGCATGCATGTGTAATTAGAAGAAATTTCCACTGAGTTCCTTATATATTACTGTCTGATCGTTATGTAGCCCTGTTTTCTTCCCATATTTATTTTCCATAATCTTAACTAAAATACTCTGTGTGACATCTTTCATCTGTGGTTTATGTAGAAAATAACAGAAGAACACCGTCGTCTAATGAAAGGTGGTCCTTTCAAGTTGAATCTCTATCCCCGAGAATATTTTGATATGAATCCTTACCACGATGACAAACCATTACCAGGAGTAAAGAAACAACCTGCTGCAGTAATACCAATCCACCAACCTTTTAAGCCAAGTTCTCCTGGAAAGAAGGTGCAGTTGTGATCCACCCCAATTATTTCAAAATGATCTTGTTGTTTATATTGCTGACTTTTATTTATCTAGGAAAAAGACAAAAAATGCATATAGCCCATTTTTGTTGGTGAATATGAATAAGGTGTATAAAATTAATAATCAGTTTTCCAAATCTCCAGGTAGCTTCTACTGTAACATTGTCCGAATAGAGATCCAGTGTGGTGTGAGGCAGATCTCAATATATATTCAGTGAAGGAAGGTGCTCCTTGATCACTTGAGAACATGGAGCAGCTAGTCCTAGGCAATTAACAAGCTATAATGTGTCTAGACAAGTTGGACATGTTCAGAGAAGGGCAATCAAAATGAATAAAGGTATGGAAACCATGCCCTATTAGGAATGGCTGAGGGAGCTGGATGTGTTTAGCTTGGAGAAAAGAAGGCTGGGAGATGACATTATAACCATGTTTAAATATTTGAAAGGAAATCACACTGAGGAGACGGCCTTGTTTTCTGCTCCTTTCGAAACTAGGACTCCAAAGCAGCAGAATGGATTCAAATTGCAGGAACATTAGGAAGAACTTACTCATGATAAGTACTATTTGGCAGTGGAATGTGGTGCCTTAGATCAACTCTCCTTCTCTGGAGGTTTTTAAGCATAGGCTGGATGGCCATCTGTTGAGGGTGATTTGATTGTGTGTTCCTGCATAGCAGGAGGATGGACTGGATAGCCCTTGTTGTCTTTTCCAACTCGATGAGTCTACGATCTTTAGTTAGACAAGAGGAAATAATGGCTTCAGATGGCCCTGGATTTTGTGAAGGTGTATTCAGACCTGTGTTCCTGAACCACAGTAATATCAAGAATAGAGTCCTGACCTTCCAGCTGGGCAAACTGGTTCAGTCCTGCTAGATGGTTGTTGCTCTAGCTGTAGTCACAAAAGGTCTGGAGGTTTCTTGGTCATTGCCAGGTGCCTTTGCTGATATCAGAATAGGTGACTGTGTGACTTAGAGAAAATACTGGTAGATAAGTCACCTATTTCTAAATAATTCTTTGTCCCTGTCTTTCCAGCCTGGGGGCATGAAAGCAGGCACGTTTGATCCTTATCCAACCCATTCTGCAGACCCCTACATCCCTAAGCTGCCTAAGCTTATCACAACCAATAAACAAGGACGCATATTTCATCCGTCTCCTGGGGTGAAAAGCAGGCCAATAAGAAGTATCATGGCTGCAAACGTTGTAAAGTAAGTAGAACCCAATTTCTGTAAATAGGTTTCATTGAGGCCTAAGCCTGTAAATGTAAAAATCCCTCTAGAATGTAGTGGTATATTGAACCATTTGGGGACACGTATATAGTGGGAATTTAGTTAAAATTAGAACAGTTTATTTATGATTCAGACTTATGTCAGTTGCCAAGGAGGTAAGATGTATTCATGCATTAAAAGAGAGTACTGCATGATCTCAGCAGGCTATTGCCAGCTATAGACATACCGTATTTCATCACATAATAGTCACACTTTTAATCCTTTTTATGTTGGAAAGCGGGGGTTCGACTATTACATGATGAAATAAAATTGGTGCCTTGTGTATGCCAGTTCTGATTTCTTTCTTTTTAAAACTGTCTTACCTTTGAAACAAAGGGGAGAGCTCTGTGTTTGTTTAAACCAGGCCTGCACAAATAGTAAGAGGCTGAAATCAAATAGGCTAAACCTCTTTGGGCCACAGATAGATTTTGAACACCTCAATCAGGGTTCGCAAGAGGACGCCTTTCCTTCAGAGCAAGCAGCAAAGTGAATTGGCCTCAGTTTCCTTGCCTCCCCTTAGGATGGTGGCAGGTTGCAGCCCTTTTCTGGAGGAAAGAAGTGCCTGAGCTCTTGCCTTCACCACTCTTCTTTTCTCTTTGCCTTTGGGTTGCCTCCGTTGTCTCCTTTTCCTGGGAAAAGGGAAAAACCACCAACTCTACACTGTTCATTTCCTTCATTTGTGAGGGAGAAACGTCGCTCCACTATGAATGGCCTGTTGGGCGAGTGGGCTTTATAATGAAAGACCCTCTTCATAAATGCACAACAGAGTAACTTATTAGCAGCAGCGTGACCCAGCACCAGTAGCCCAAAGTGATAACAAGAACAAAAACACACAGACCAAGGAGGCTTTTCTTTATAGCAAAGTAATATGGTTGCACTATTTACAAGTACAAGGTTTCCGTGACACAAATAAAGTTCAACCTTCACACTGGAGCTTCACACACGAGGCCTTTGCTTACCAAGGTTTACCTCACAGACTAAGGCCTACCTCACACTGTGAGGCCTTCTCACAGACAAAGACCTTTCTCCCACTGAGGTTTACCTCAGACTGATGGCTACTAAGCTATAGGCACACCTGCTTATCTAGAACTGCAGCTTTTGCTGAATCAATGCATTCATTTAACCCTTTCAGTGCTTGACTCACATTTTTGTAATTAAAAATACCTAGTTAATTTTTAATATTTCTGATATGTCGCACAAGAATTTCATAATAAAAACTATGTTTCTCTGCCACAAGTGAGGGAAATGAGTGGTGAGAAGTTAGTGGTTTTCCCCATTGGAAAAGGAGATGATAGCAGCAACCCAGAGGCAAACAAAAAGGAAAAGCAGCATAGTCAAATTTGTCCCTCACAAGTGAATGTGCAGAGCAGACGTTTTTGCCGCTGGATGAAAGGAGACGACAGAGGCAGATAGAAAGGAAGAGGGGTGGAGGCAAGAACTGAAGCCTTTCTTCTTTACTACCTCCTTCTCTCTCTCAACAACCACTCTAATGTTAAATTTTAGTATAACCTGGAGCCCACGATTCTAGCCTCCCTGAATAAAGGTCCAATGCCCCTTAAAACTTCATCCCCTCTCCCCACTACTCCAGCCTGAGTCCAGCAACCTCCCCAGGTCATGTTTCCAATGGAAACAGGCACTGCTGGTATCCTGATAGGATGTATTGGTGGAGCCCGCTTTGTCACAGGTTAGTTTGGGCCTTCTCAGTGGTGAACCCTCAGCTGTGGAACTCCCTCTCCAGTGATATTGGAGAAGCTCCCTCCCTCCTGGGCTTCAGAAAGAAAGTGAAAACCTGGCTCTGGAGTCAAGCCTTCGGAGATGAACTATAGTGCAATAATAGTTACGGAATTATGTGCAATGACATTTGAAATAGCCCCGGATTACAATTGTGGATGGCATGATTTTTAATGGCGATTACAATATTTTATATGTTTTAATGTGTATTTAATTTTAATTTTTAAATCTTTAACATAATGTATTTTAACTGTTTGTTGTTCAAAGGCATTAAATAGTTGCCATATGTAAAGCCACCTTGAGTCCCCTTCGGGGTAAAGAAAGGCAGGATACTATTTGTAAATAAATAAATAAAATAAATAGTTTGGTAACTTCGATGCATACAGAAAGGAAACGTGCGGAAGTAAAACACTTGGAAGAGGGAATAGCGGATTCCGATGGCTACTCTGCTGTAGTGCTGCATGTGGCCTCCCTCTTTCAGGCTTAACCTCAGAGCCCTTGTGGGCTACACCCAACTCTTCGGAGGGATGGATCTGGCCCCTGGGCCACATGTTGTGCAGGCTTGGTTTAAGCGTTCTTTGAGGGGGAAAGGAAGAAAAGAAAGCTCCTTGTTTGTTTTTGTTTTGCTTAAAACTACCTGGAACAATTATGTGAGGAAAGGAAAAACATCACTTTGGGGTTCAAAAGGCCGGGGTACGAGGGATGAGGCAGGAGGGGTGGGGGTCAGGGACAGATAATTATGTAGTGGTGATCATTATGTAGTGAAATATGGTATAGTACAATAAGTAAACATAGCTTAATACTGCTCAGCAGGAAAAGGCCTTCCAAATGATTTTTGGACTATAATTCCCATCAGCCCACACCGTTGGCCATGCTGAATAGCTGTAATGGAAATTGCAATCCAAGAATATCTTCAGGCCACAATTGACTCACTGCAATATAGTTTTTTAAATTAAAAAGCAAAAGGGATTGGAACTAAACTTTTGCATTATTTATTGCTGCGGCAGCACGCATGCAACCTCAGAGAGTCTTGGCATCGCTGGACACCTTGGCATCCCCAGATTTAGGTGCCCATACTTCAGAAAGAAGCTGTGCACATTGTAGTAATGCATAATCTGACAGACAACTAAAAGCCATTCAGTCGTGTGATACTTTCTTTCCATTTACATTTCAGGTCATTAAATGCAACGAACTACACAAATCCACGTGTGATGTCATATTAGCTGCCCAAAAGCAAGGTGAACAAACTTCCTAAAATTCTGGGCACCTTAAGTAAATAAAAATGTGTAGCCAAGGGAAATGAGTCTCATATAACAATCCCTGTGCTGCATGTGTTGTTGTATTCCATAGAAATAGAAACAGAAGATTATATATGTATGTGTGTGTATATATATATATGTGTGTGTGTATATATTTTTTTTACTGATAATGAACTAAATCTAGCATCATATCAGTGGATGTCTGCTAGTACAAGAGGGGGAATTTCTGCCCATCCAGTTCTGCCAACAAAAGCAGTGCTGTCAGTGGATCTATTCAGTATATTTTGCTATAAATTATATATGGATTTGTAGATACTATGTTTTCAAAAAAATAAATATTTATTTTTTGCTTAAGGAACAGTTTTCTCTCTCCATCTGTTCTAAAAATCACAACTGATACCTCTCCTGTGTTATGTCCAGTTTAGGCCCAGTTGATGGTTATTCTCAAATACAATTTTGCTGAGTTATACTTCTGATAAAACCTAACATGACAACCGGAAATGGAATGCACCAGAAACATGCCAAGCTGTGCTAGTTCTGTGTCATGGCCTGAAGTAAACATTTTCACTTATTTGAGAATGAATAGTCAAAGTTCAATGATAAAGCTTCAATTGTGCCCGAAGAAGCAGGGCCCCAATTTCCCATTGATCTTGACTATAGCTTTAAAAATTCCTAATCACTGAGAAGTTCTAGTCTTCATATATTTTGTTCATGTCTTTTTGATGGACTTCCCATAGAGATCACGGCAGCTACTGTGTGGGGAATAAAGTACATCTTTGTCTGATCCAGCAGGTTGATATTTTCCCAAAGTGGTTGCCTTAGGCCCCTTTTACACTGCCATATAATCCACATTATCCTTTGAACTCAATTATATGAGTCTACACTGCCAAATAATCTAGTTCAAATCAGATAAACTGGATTTTAACTGGAAGCAAAACTCATTGAACTAAGTACAGCTTACTGTTGAGTAAAGATGCAACAAAATTGGCCATCTTCCTCCTTCATCTTTTGAGAATTCTTGGAGAACATGAGACGTCCCAGCAGACTGAAGGAGGGCCTTCAACAAATTTCCCCAATACCTTCTTGGAAACAAACTAGTCAAATGTTGGCTAGACAAGAATACTGTTAGTTGGATTTGTAATTGCTTAAGGTACCAAACCCAAAGGGTGCTCACTAATGGTTCCACTTCATCCTGGAAAGAAGTGACTAGTGGAGTGCCACGGGATTTGGTCCTGAGCCCAGTAGTGCTCAACAGTGCTTTATCAATGACTTGGATAAAGGTTTAGAGGGTGTGCTTATTAAGTTTGCAGATAACACCAATGTTATCTGCAGAGGATAGGATAGGATCAGAATTCGAAATGACCTTAACAGTTTAGAGAGCTGGGCCAAAAGTAACAAAATGAATTTCAACAAGGACAAATGTAAGATACTACACTTAGGCAGAAAAAATGAAATGCAAAGATACAGATTGGGTGACGCCTGGCTCAACATGTGTAAAGATTGTGAAGCCGTATTGGACAGCAAGTTAAACATGAGCCAACAATGTGATGCAGCAGCTAAACAAGCCAATGGGATTTTGGGCTGCATCCCTGTTTAGATCCAGGGAAGTCATGCTACCCCTCTGTTCTGCCTCGGTCAGACCACACCTAGAATACTGCGTCTAATTCTAGGCACCACAATTTAAAGGAGATGTTGACAAGCTGGAAGGTGACCAGAGGAGGGCAACTTAAATGATCAAAGGTGTGGAGAATATGCCTGACGAGGAGCGTCTTAAAGACCTGGGGTTGAGAGGAGACACGATAGTCATGTATAAATATGTGAAAGGAAGCCATAAGGAAGATGGAGCAGGCTTGTTTTCTGCTGCCTTGAGACTAGGACTCAGAGCAGTAACGGGTTCAAATTGCAGGAAAGGAGATTCCTCCTGAACATTAGGAAGAACTTCCTAGCCACAGAACTGTTCAACAGTGGAACACTCTGCCTTGTGGTGTGGAGGAAGTTCCTTCTTTGGAGGCTTTTAAACAAAGGCTGAATGGCCTCTATTAGGGATTCTTTGATGGTGCTCTTCCTGCATGACAGGGGGCTGGACTACATGTTCTAACTTTGTGTGATTCTTCATTTTCTCATCCATCTACCATATGTAAAATACCACACTTGCTTGGGTGGGAATGATGTATGAGTAGACAGCATTGCTTGAGAGTGGACCTTAGTAAAACTTACTATTAGACCTAGAATGTATTGCTCATTTAATATATTGATTTTCGATGCTTTAGTTTAGTTAAAATGTGTCTCTCCAGTGAGCAGTCAGGCCTTATTTCCTGGCGTATGGACTGGTTTGATCTTCTTCCAGTCCAAGGCACTCTCAGAATTTTCCTCCAACATCACAGTTCATACTCCGTATTCCAGGAAATAAAGCCCAACTGCTTACTAGAGGGAAGGATATTAGAGGCAAAGATGAAGTACTTTGGCCACATCATTAGAAGACAGGAAAGCTTGGGGAAGACAATGATGCTGGGGAAAATGGAAGGAAAAAGGAAGAGGGGCTGACCAAGGGCAAGATGGATGAATGGTATCCTTGAAATAACTGGCTTGACTTTGAAGGAACTGGGAGTGGCCACGGCCAACAGGGAGCTCTGGCGTGGGCTGGTCCACGAGGTCACTAAGAGTCAGAAGTGACTGAACGAATAAACAACAGTCACAGTTCAAAAGTGTCTATCAGTCTTCCTTATGGTCCAGCTCTCACATCCATAGGTTACTACAGGGAATACCATTGCTTTAACTATGTGGATCTTCATTGCCAGTGTGATGTCTCTTAATTATTTTATCAAGATTGGTCATTGCTCTTCTCTCAAGAAGTAAATGTCTTCTGATTTCCTGGCTGCAGTCTGCGTCTTCAGTAATCTTCATGCCTAACAATACAAAGCCTGTCACTGCCTTCACATTTTCTCCCTCTTTTTTGCCAGTTATCAATCAGTCAGGTTGCCATAATCTTGTTTTTTTTTAAATAATTAGCTGCAACCCACTTTCTTTCACCTTGGTTAGAAGGATCCTCAGCTCCTCCTCGCTTTTAGCTATCAAAGTGGTATCATCTGCATATCTAAAGTTGTTAATGTTTCTTCCAGTAATTTCAACTCCAGCTTTGGATTTGTCAAGCCCTGCATGTTGCATATGTTCTGCATACAAGTTGAATAGGTCGGGTGAGAGTATAAAGCTCTGCCGTACTCCATTCCCAATCTTGAACCAATCTGTTGTTCTGTGGTCTGTTCTTACTGTTGGTACTTGGTCATTATACAGATTCCTCAGGAGACAGACAAGGTGACTTGGTATCCCTCTACCACCAAGAACAGAAGATGTTATTTACTTTCACAACTAAGTAAAATATGTAAAATATGGTTTTTGGAATAGCATTACGGTATGAAAAGATAACAAAAAACAAAAACATTCATTTTTACACATAATTTTAAAGTAAATACTGTTTTGTTTTTTAATAGAGAATTCAAGTTTTTCATTTCACCAGGCATGCTACTTTTTCCCAGTTTGTCTCATTTTAATTGAAGATACTGTTAAAACAAAGCCCAGTTTACCAGAATAATATACAGTATAAATACTATTCAAAACTATGTTTGATGTTCCATTCTTTAAAAAGCAACCTTTTCTGAAATAAAGGAGATATGCAAATAAACATTAATATGTGTGCTTGCGGCAGTTTGGATATCTTTCCCATGCACAACTTTGGGTTGATTTTTTCCCTAGTGTTTGTGAATATTTATGCATTTCTGATAGTTCTGTCCTTTACTGTGTGTCTTAGGCAATAATCAGAAATACATTTTAGTCCTTTACATCTGTATGCTTAGCCCTCAAAGACTAAGTGGTGGAGCAAAGAGTGCTACATTTCTTCTGCATGACACTTGGAAACCCCGATTCTCTTACGATGGATGTGGTGCAACTGACTGAAAAAGTACTGTACAGCTTGACTTTGTTGTCACCCTTCTCTGTAAATAGTTCTTCTTTTTCCAGTTTCCGTCGGATTGCAGCAATCTTTCCACACTCTAGCAAATTGGAAGGGTTAGGAAAGTAGTTAACATAGTTTACAATCCAATGAACTATCAAGTTGATATGTTTGCATTGGAATAATATTCACAGGCATTGTAAAATAATACAAACTTGTCCTTCTTGGCAAGTAAGCTGCAGTGCTCTTCCTTACATTACAGATGTTTAGGAACAGATGCATGTGGTAGTTAGTATGTGGCATACATTAACCCAATGGGATAAATTTCTTTACTAAAATCACTGAAGGACAGCTGAGTACCTGACTCACTCAATGCCCCCCTCCCCCCAGCCTGGTCCTTGCTTTGTGCATGCAGTAAGGCCACACATGAACTCCTTAGAACCATTCAGTCATCTTGCCAAGTGAAGAAGATAGAGGAAGCCATCTGTTGACACTAGCTTATGTAGGGATCCTTTGTGTACCAATTTAATAGAGTTGGAAAGTTTCAGGAGAAGATTTGATTCCAAATAAACAACATCCCTGTCACTGTAAGCCCTTTGAAATATTGCCCTAAATATATAAGACAATTCTGGGGTGATGACTGGGGTGCAGTCCCAGTTCTCCTTCCATAGAACTGGGACCGCATTATGATAGAATTTACTATGAATTCCCTTCTTATTGTAGTCCTTTAAGACCCATTCCAAAGAATTGCCCAGTCGGTTTTTAGGGAAGAACGGTTTTTAGGGAAGTTCAGAGGACAGAAATATGGAGGGGCATTTCTATTTGCCAATTCTACTGCTCGGATTTTAGCTATTGCCTTCACCTTAAAAACCAATATAACATATTTTCATATCCCAATAATTTTGTAGGGTATTTTTTCAGTACATGTAAGTACATATGAACTACTCAGAAGTAGGTCACATTAAGTTCAAGTAAACTCCATGAAATTACTCAAAGGAAAGTTTAAGATGCATTTGTAAATATATTTTTTCCACTACTTGCAACTGCATCTAGTATTTCTTCTTTCATGTTCCACGAACTTGGATTTATATGTAGAAGAATGTTAATTGCCATCCCTACCCCAGTCTGATTCTGCTAATTTGCATTAATGTTGATTTGCAGATACAGAAAATAACTCCATACTCCTGGAGCAAAGCTATTTGGCTCAGCTTTATATGACTTAAGGCCCTTTACTCTTGTGCCTCATGAGAGAAATAATGCCATCTCCTGAGATGGAAAGACTCCTAAAAGGTTCCTCAGATGATCTTTTAATCCTTACAACTCACTTTTATGTCATGGGGGGAGGGAAAAAGTTGGACAGATCTCATGCATATAGAATAGGGTACCAATAGGGCCTACCTGACCAATTGCATTGGAGAGAGGAAGCATAAAGCCATCCTATCTGCTGTATAGCACAAAAGGGAAGTAATGGGGGATACCAATTTTTCAAAGTTTGTAAATTTGTTGAATTGTGATTCCCAGATACCAATCCTGATTTTCAAGAACTCGGGACACATCTACATGCACATTTCACCCCAAAAGGGAGGTGAATCAGTTTAATAGCATCTACATGATGCATAAGAGTTGATTTGCGTTAACAAGAACGTTAAGAAATGAGTTGCTTTGAGGTTTCCTTGAAATCCTGGAGCAAATATGGATTTTGGGCCTGTGTAAATAGTTGGGCCAGTTCCAGTACAAAACTGACTGCAACTGTTTACACAGCAACAGTATTTCCTGGGCTTGATCCTGGGACACAGGATGGGGCATACTGTCCACCTCTTATTCTCACCGTAGTGGGAACTACAAGCCATGAAATGGCTGGTGGCTGCCACTTGTCGACTGGAATAATGTTGTCTGGAGTGTAAGGGCAATCGGAGAAGCGATGGCAAGAAATGGCCACCCGCCATTTTGTGCCTGATCACCACTACAATGAGAACAGGAAGAGGATTGTAGGAGTCCACACAACTGGATTCAGCGCTGCCAAATATACTCTATGTAGCATGTAGCGAAATGTTATATGAAAAAAAGGAAAATTAAAACTTTAAATGTTGTTCATCACCTGCAAACCATCTTCCCAAATTTTTACTGAATGCCTTAGAAAAAAGTAATGTTGATTATATAAGAAAGTTTAAAAACTGTTTTCAAAGAAGATTTTTTTTATTACAGTTTCTTTGAAGGACTGATTGCTGGAGTTTGTCTGGAATTTCCTAGAAAAAAAGACAGTGTTCTTTAAAAACCGAAACCAAAGGATGAGTCCCTTTCAGGAGACTAACTGGGGTACCTACAAATTAAGACAACCAAAATGCTCAATGATACGCCCAAATCTCTGTTTTTCCATTTTTCCTCCAAAATGTAGTTACCAAAATAAGGACATACTATTTCCTTTTTTCAGTTTGGAGAAAAATTGTTTTGAAGAACATTTTGAGTGATTGTGAAGAACTTTCTTTTGTGCACTTGCACATAATAGGTGGGTGGGCGGACACAATTTTCAAGCAAAAATTGCCTGCATTTTTTATATGGGAGAGCTTTAAGCAAGTGAAGGAGGGCTTCAGTGGGGCTACTGATTATATATCACAAAATATTTTAAAGATTTATTTATTTTTCCAGTTCTCATTACTGGGGATGTCTGAAATACCTGAAGATCAGGGGTGCAATCCATAGCCGTCCAAGCATAGCTGTACAGAGACAGGAGTATTTCTGGGACAGGGCAAAGTTGAGTAGAGGGACATTTAAATAAGTGTACGGGAAACATAAGTCCAATGTAAAGCAGTGATTGGCCCAATATAATATAAATATCCCTTAGAGAGAAGAGAAAGAGCTCACCTGAATCCTCTTCCAAGCACTTTTCTTTTGATTGATCATGCCCTAAAAATTCAGACATTGCTGTTGGTGTCTTAGTATCATCTAAGCATATGTTCAGACATAGAAAGCACATCAGTTTAGTATTTTGCTTGTCAATTGTGGTCAAGACAATCACAGAATGAGACACCTCCAAGTCACCCTAACATCCCACCTCAAATACTGACATAAATTGACATACCTGGTTGGTTATGCATAAGAGAAATATGCTGGTAGCTAGATATTTCATCACAAATTTCCGCAGGATTAGCAAAAGGATAATTTCCCCTTTGATTTTGAGAGCGAAACCTTCGTTTGTACTGTTCATTGAACAGAGCAATAACTTGGTCTCGAAGATTAGCATTATTCTTCTGGAGGCGGCGTGCTTCAAACTTCAATACATCTCGTTCATTTTCTGCAGAGCGCATTTCATTTTCCATTAGTAAGAGCTCCTCACTCAGTTGTCTTATTTTGTTTTTATATTCTGTGGCCTCTTGCTTATATTCATGGAGATGCTTTTTAAGAAGCCAGTTATCCTCTGTAATGCTTGCCACCACTGTTCCCAATCTCCTACACTCTCTTTCTGTGTTGGACAAATTGGTATTCAAAATTCCCATTTCTAATTTTGTGGTTTTGCATTCAGTCAGAAGCTTCCCTTCTGCATCAGTTCTTTTAGATTGGGCTTCTAAGAGGTCCTTCTTCAGGACTTCCTTTGCTTTGAGTGCCTCTTGCAGTGTCTCCTCTAACTTCAACTTTTCATCTTTCAGAGACTGTATCTCATTAAGTAGAGACTCCAAATTAGACATCGTTACCTTCTCATTTTCTTTCAGTTTCTGAATTTCCATCTGTTTTTCTCCATGTTCTTTTTCCAGTAAAGTTTTTGTCCCTGTAAGCTGACCTATCTTTTCCCTAAGTGTTTGATTTTCTTCTTGAAATGTTGCCACCTGTTTTTCCAAAGACCCTAATGCCATAATAAGATCACTTTTTTCTTTCGTGAAAAAAGCCAGATCATCCCGTGTCTTCTGATCTTTCTTCTGAAAATCATTGATGTCTTCCACAATACGCTGATTTTGAGCATAAAGCTGATCCTGATTTTCCTCGAGAGTTGCCTTTTGCTGCTGAAGTTCTTTACATTTTTTCAGAAGCCTCCTGACTTCCTTAAGGCATTCTTTGCAATCTCCTTCCGACTTAACTAGTCTCTCTTGAATGCTATTCTTGTCGTCATGTAAGTCCTTAATTTGCTTCTGATATTTTATGTTTTGCTCTGTTAGAGACTGTATAATGTCTGTGAGAGGTTTCATTTGGTTTCTGAGATCTATATTTTCATGTTCAAGATTCATCATTTTTTTCTGAGCATGTTCTGACTCTTTCGCAGGCGTCTGTATTAATCTAACTTTTCCACCCAACTCATCTGGCACAGGATAGGCATCACAGAATTCCAGACCAGTCCCATTTTGAAGCTCATTATTTGAGCTAAGCAACTGATATTCTTTTTCTACATGGCTGTCTTCAATGTGTTCTGGAAATAATAAATTATCTCTTACCACTGCTTTGGACAAGAAATTTAACTGCAGCTTGTCCAGAGCACACTCTTTCATGAGAGTTTCCTTATTGTACTTTCTCTCATATGGAGCTTGGGTTGCATTTTGATTATTTTCTTGAGAAGAATCCATGGCATCATGAGACTTATCAGATGAACCCTCCACTTCTGAAATTCTTCTAGATTTCAACTCTTCATTTGGCATATTCATGGCTTTTTCTGTTAGGTCTTGTTCTGACAGATAACCAGAATCGTTGTCTTTGCTACATACATTGCGTGTGTTCTGAAAGTCAAAGATATATGACGGTTCATGCCTCGGGTCTCTTTTACTCTCCTGTTGCATGTCCTTGAAAGAAAAACTCACGCTCTCTGTCAAGCATTCATTGTCCTCATCATCAAACTTATGGAACACCTTAGGCACTTTAGAGTCATCATAACTTTTGTACTCTTTCAGAGGAGTCCTGTCATCTGCTTTGAAGCTGATAAAAGATGGGGAGGAAATGTCGTTCATGTAATTCTTCAATTCATGATCACTGTTTAAAGACAGAATAGGTTTATTTCTAGATGTCTGGGCATGGTCTTCTGACTTCCCAATGGCTTTATATTTTATCGAAATGTGATGTGGAATATTTTCTTCTGTGACTGTGTCTCCAAACAGAGTGCTAGAATCAGTTTTTGTACTGGAACTGGTGCCAGATCTGTCATCAAAATGAAGTTGCTTCTTAAAATGTGATGCTTCTTGATATCTCCTTGGCTGAGAGAGAAAGCAGACACACCGGAATGTTTTCAGTACACAAAAATCAGAAAAGACACAGTTCAGAACCACCAATAAATTGCTTAGATGGCACATTTTATATAGATTTCCTTACCTAGCAAAAATATGTAATGTGAAATTGAAATTGCTGCTTCTTGAGTGCTATACATATCTCTCCTTGAAATTAAGTTTAAATAGCATTTGAAAACATGTTAGAAATATATTACTTTCTACATTTTGATTTCTAATCTCTATTTATTTTTTCTGGAAGATGGAAGGCACTTGGCAGGTTGTTGTAATAGTCTCTTTCAGCTTATGCAGGGGTAAAATGTAGTTCACAGAAACAATTTATTACTTATTATACTATAGTTTTCTTGATCAAATACTCTACCATTCTTCAAATGCATATACATTCCAGTTTCTGGCAAAAACCACGGAGTGTTTGGTTTTTAAAATATTCAGAGTAACGTTATTTGTCTTTGTGTATGTAAGCTGTCATGCATTATACTTCTCCAATCAGATCTAAACTCATCTTTTGTTATAAAATGTATGCAGTCATTATACCGTGCTCTCCCCGGGTCCTTCCACACAGCCATATAACCCAGAATTATCAAGGCAGAAAATCCCACAATATCTGCTTTGAACTGTGTTATATGAGTCCACAATGCCATATATTTTAGTTCAAAGCAGATAATTGGAATTTTATTCAGCTGTGTGGAAGGAGCCCCAGTTACTGCTGCTTTTTATGGATAACTTTATGGTTTAACTTTTATTTTGGGTTTTTTAAACTATTCTTGTGAAAAGGGAGCATTTGTTCATTCTAACAACCATTTTAACATTTTTAAAATTATACACACACTGCTTTCTTTGAGAGAGAGAGAAAGAGAGAGAGAACTGTATGGTTCTCCCAGGCTATGTGAGTAGCTGTCATGATTCCCACCCAGGCGTTAGCCAGACTGGCATGTATTTTATTTTAACAATGTAATAGAAACACGCCCCAAAACAGACACTTCAGGACAGTATTGGCATGTTTTTCTTTCATGTATAAAATGGCAAAATTCAATGCCTCACATGTATGAAAACATCACATATCAAATCAACAATATATGATAATAGATTAAAACCATTAAAACTATAAAACAACAATCACAGATACAACATAAAACATTTAGACTTTGGATCAATCCTGGGTTGTCTAACTTATTTCATATTTCCATATTTCTGTCATTCACTGAATGCCTGCTTGAATAACCAGGTCTTAAGTTGTTTTCTAAACACTAGGAGGGAGGGGTCCAATTTAATCTCATTTGAGAGGGAGTCCCACAGCTGAAGGGCCACCACCGAGAAGGCCCTGTCTTTCATGCCCGCCAATCGCACCTGCAAAGATGGCGGGACTGAGAGCAGGACCTCCCCAGCAGATCTCATAAAGGGAGATGCGTTCGGACAGGTAAGCTGGACTGGAACTGATTCATAGGCTAAAGCCAGCACTTTGAATTCTTCTGCTCTGTACCAGTCTGGCAGCCAGTGGAGCTGACGCAACAGGGGAGTTGTATAACTGCCAGGTACTGTTAAGACTGCAGTTCCCATGAACCTTGGCTAGTTAAGCTTGTAGAATTAGAGAGCTGCAGTACAAAACTATCTGTCTTGCACTACTGATATGTTCTATGATAGTTGGGAATCTGGTGCCTTATTCCCAAACTTGTGAAAAAGCCTTGGAACAAGATTATCATTGTAAGAATATTAAAATATTTTTAAAAGGCAGTTGTGGGAAGAGTTATCTCTAGAACTCTCCTTGATTTGGTCACGTATAATCTCTTCCATGCAAAATAGTATCCCTTTACATCTCTATCTTGTGGGACACTGCTTCATATAGTGGGCCTTTGTTATCTAGTAGGGATTGGTTCCAAGACTGTCAGTGGATACCAACATCTAGGGATGCTCGAGTCTCATTATATACAATATCATTGTAAAATGATGTTTCTTATACAAAATGGCAAAATGAACTTTGCTTTTTGGATTAAAAAATATTTTTCAAACCTGGACAATTGAGTCCATTGATACAGAGTTCATTGAAACAGAGCCAACTCAATCAATCAATCAATCAATCAATCAATGATTTATTATGATCTGATCATCACAGAATAGAATGGGGCACAGGTGCCCAAGGAAGGGAATCGCAGTTCCCAAGTAGATCAGATAAAAAGCAGATTAAAAACATGTTATAAAAGAGACAGATTAAAAAGCAGACTAAACTTACAGTTTAAAGTGCATGTATGAATCTAAAATAGGGGGCAGCTAATAACAAATATCAGACAAACAGAGCCAACTGTATTTTATGAACTGATGCCAGAAGTGATGGAAGAGAAGATGGTTCCTTTTTAGTCAAGGATCCTTTTATCTTCTTCCCAAAAAATACCAGTTCTGTGAACACATCTAGTTAAAGCAAAACATACCATAGCAACGTTGATAGGTGTGCTCGTCAAACATAAATCGTCTGGATCAAATTCTGAACTTTTCATATCAATTATATTTTTGTTAAGTATTCCATTGATTTCACACTGGACCTAAAGAAACACGAAGTGAGATCATTAACCTTCTCTTTTCACCTCACACATGTTCTTTTGTTTCCTGTGTATCTGTTGTTAGCCATTCTGATAACACCCTGTTTGTTTTAAGAAGTCTATGCATATCTACTTAGAAGCCCCTTTGATTTATGAGAATTGAGTAACAAATACAATGTATTGTTGTTGTTATTCAGATGAACTTATTCCAAGTAGATATGGGGTGATAACTTTTGTAGATTTTGGATATGTCACGATCTTATGAAGGTGGCTTGGCTCACTATAAACAATTTTACTGAATTTGGGCTTTGTGCTGAGCCTAAATTTCACTGACTTAATATCTGTGGCATCTTCCATAGTATAAGATAAGTGTAAGAATCATGTAGGCTAAAACCAATTGAAGGCCAAAGGTTTTCCATCTCTGTATTAAACCACTGCACTTTGAAAATTACATTTTATCTTTTATATCCAGCAATTACATCATTATCCCCAATGCCAATGGTCAGTGTAAGTGGAGCCTTAGATTTGTTGGGCTACAACTCTGATCATACTCAGCCAGTTGGTTATGCGTCATAGTGATGGTGGACATCCTGGTCCAAACCAATTGGAGGGCATAGGTTGAGGAATGTACCCAGTGGTTCCTCATCCCTGAATTAGAAACTTAAATGATGGCCGTTAATTCCATCTATTAATTTGCTTTTTAGCCATGGTCTGTTTTTTAAGAAGCAGGATATTTAGAAGAAGGGTGAGAAGATGTCATTCCCAGGTACTCTATTTCAGTTTCTCTACTGCAAAGAAACTGTTGAGAGTACTTTGATAGTGTATTCTTGCCTGGCAGGGAGTTGGACTGGGTAGTCATTTTGGTCTTTTCCAATTCCTCTATGTTCTACGATTCTATGGAAAAGCAAACCTTTTTAATCATGTTATCCTTGCCTTCTGCTCTAAAATGATGTTTTAAACTCTTGGCTGTTTTAAATCCAGACTCATAACCAAAAGCCAGATGTTCCTTACAAGGAATTTTGAGAACACTAGAGTAAACTAAGAGTTGTTGCTCTCGGGACCAGCCTGAGGGTTTCCCATAGAGATTTAGTTGGTCACTATAGGAACAGAATGCTGGAGAAGATAAGACTCTGGCCTTGTGCAACAGGGTGGTTTTTATGTTTCTGTTTGACAAAAAATGGCTTGGTGTATGAAAACATGGGAAATGCGGTGGAAGACTTTAGAAAAATGGCAGACTATTGAAGAGAGTAGTTAGCTGTCTCTTCCTTCTGGTGCAAAGCTTCTCTCAATTGACAAGCAAGCTATGTTAGCAGTTAAGCACTACTGATTTTCATCTGGACTACTGGAGTGTTTTTAATAAATCCAGAAATGAGCATCTGTAGATCTCCAGATCATCTTGGGCATTACTGTCCATAATACACCACAACCGGTTACGTTGATTAGGGATGATAGGAGCTATGGGAGCCACAGTTTGTCCACACCTTCATTGGCCAATAACTAAGTTGGAGCAGGGGGGAAGCATAATGCAGAAATGACAATAAATCCCTTGAGGGAAATGTTAGCAAATAGTATTTGTATTCATATTATTATGAATCTCCGAAGTCAGTTTATAACTCTTACAAAGTTTACAAATCTTAGCACAAAAAGTGAAGTCCTGTGATTTTTGTTCTTAACTGTATAATAATGAAATTATGAGAGAAAATGCAACCACAAGGACAACGAAGGTTAATTTATAATGGCAGAGATGGATGGGAATAGGTGAGCACAAAAGAATTATTGGGATTTCTTATGAGGTGTTGAGATTTGCATATAAAAATGATTGTATGTTGTATCCTATATACATAAAATGGAACATCGTGCTCGCTTGTTTTTCTGATATTTAGGGTTTGTGCTTACCATGCTTACATTCTGCAATGTTTGCTGTCGAAGGGCTTGGAATGATTCCAGCTGTTGTTGTAAGATCTATAGTTGGGAAAAATAATAGAAGGTTTGTACATATTCAGCACAAACTGAGACAGCTGGCCTTTTTGGGGGGTGAGAGGTGGAGGTTGTTTTGTTATGCTACAAAACAAGAACTGCAGACCATGCCGGTTTGCAAGAGGAAGGTGTCACCAAGGCTGATGTAAGGCATGTTCCCCAGTCAGTCTTAGCAATGTGTTTTTACTCAGGGCCCTTCCAGACAGGCCCTATATCCCAGGATTTTAGTTTGTCATACAAATTATGTTCAAAAAATATGGGCAAACAAAACCCACTGATTTATTTAGGAGTGCTAAAAAGTGACATGAAATGCAGAAACTCTATTCCACAGAAGGCCAAGGGTGAATTATCTTTTTAAAAGATGACAAACTTTGCTATTTTTTAAAAGCATTAATACAAAGTTGCTGTTTATTTTCTGTATTATGTTTTATAGGATGATGTATATCATGTTTTTACTAGTCTGTCTTGCCCTCCTCCTGGCATAATGCCGAGAGGATAGCCTGAAGACTGGAGGAGGAGGATCAGGGCAGTCACCATGTCTCATTTTCCTCCTGGCATAAGGATGGGGTGAGCAGCCCTATCCTTATGCCAGGAGGACAATCTGGGGATGCCCCGAGCCCTCTCCCAGGCCTTTCCCCCACCCTCCTATGCCCATTCCACCCAGTGTGTGCCTACAATGCGGCCCCAAGGCAAAAAGTTTGCCCATATTTCATGGAATCTATGTTTGATGCAAAATTTACCTTAACTGATCCTAACAGAAATGCTCTAAAAGTTGGGGCTGTGTCAATCAGAAGGTAATTCTATTATCTTGCAGACCAGATCTAAAAATCTGCTTCAGAGGTAGAAGCCTAAAATTAAACTAGGAATAATAAGATTTGTGGGTTTTGAATTTAAAAAAAAACAACCTAATTTTTGAATGATTATATGATAATAGGTTAAAAGCTTTCAATATTTAGCTTTTAGCACTAACTTTATTTCCTGCCACCTTAGAATGATAATGCTTACATTTGCAGAAGTAGAAGTGAGGGAAAACATTCACAGTCTTAAAAATACTAATTATGAACAAGAGAAAAACCTGAAGAAATTCATTAAACTAAAAATCCTCCCTGAACTCTCATTTCCTAGTATCATTTATGGAAATTCACATCACCCTGTCTTTGTTATCCAGAACAGATAAGCTTACTTTCATTGGTGACTGCGGCTGGGCTTGGCCGTCTCTTCCTGAAGCAGATTCATCTGAAAATCAATGAAACAAATCCTGCAGATATAGTGTTAAGCCCAAAAGCTTTAAATCTCCACACCTAGGCAAAGAGTACACAGTTCATTCCCTAGTCTGAAGAGTATCTTGGTTGTATTGTAGAAGGCTTTCATGGCCGGAATCACTGGGTTGTTGTAGGTTTTTTCGGGCTATATGGCCATGGTCTAGAGGCATTCTCTCCTGACATTTCGCCTGCATCTATGGCAAGCATACCTCTGAGGATGCTTCCCATAGATGCAGGCGAAACGTCAGGAGGGAATGCCTCTAGACCATGGCCATATAGCCCGAAAAGACCTACAACAACCCAGTATCCTGGTTGAATTAACCTTGTTCCATGTGTTGTCGAAGGCTTTCATGGCCGGAATCACCTTGTTCCATCATTGTGCTAAGAATATGTAAGGTTCATGCTTCTCAGCAGAACACAGGAAGACCTTGAATGCACACTATTTTTCTTCTATCACCATAAAAACCACTGGGGGCATATGCTTAGAATTTGGTCTTTAACAGGTTCCAAGGTTTGGAATATTACTGTTGGAAAATGAATATTTGAAAAGGTGTATCTGTTGTAAATTAGACCAGTGCATGACAAAGACATTGGAGGAAGTTCAAAGAAGGGCAACAAGCATGATAAGAAGCATGGAAAACAAAACATGAGGAAAGGTTGAGTGGGTTAAGCATGGTGAAAAGAAGATTGAAGGGTGACATGACTGCACTCTTTAGATATGTAAAGATCTTCACAAAAAGGGGAATGAACTAAAAATCCATCTGTTGCTTCAAAGTCTAATGGTTTTAAATTAGGGCAAGTAGATTTAAACTGAACCAATAGAAGAAACTTTGTGGTAGTTGTTGCTACTAAGGGTTTGCAACGTACTTTTCCTAAGTTTTGGAAAGGATCAGGGCAGTTTCTGTTGCAGCTGACACAGTTAATTGATGGGAAAATTGAGTGTATTGTTATCTCATGTATATAGTAAGCCACTGTGTGTTTGTACTTTGAGCATTGCGTTTGTAGCTTTGCTTGAGAGCTCATTCTGAGCTGAAAAGCCTTTGTTTGAAGCAGTTCTGCAAGCGTCCTGAAGATTTTTTTTTGGTCGTGTCAGGAGCAACCGCTCCTGTTGTGAGAGAATTGGCCGTCTGCAAGGACGTTGCCCAGGGGACGCCTGGATGATTTTTGATGTTTTATCATCCTTGTGGGAGGCTTCTCTTGTGTCCCCGCATGAGGAGCTGGAGCTAATAGAGGGAACTCATCCACCTCTCCCCGGATTCGAACCTGCGACCTGTCGGTCTTCAGTCCTGCTGGCACAGTGCTTTAACCCACTGCGCCGGCAGAGAGAATGCATCTAGAACATAGCCATATAGTCAGAAAAACTTACAGCAACCCAGTGTTTCCGGCCATGAAAGCCTTCTACAACACAGACACAGAAATATTCCAGAATATTTAAAAGAGAGGATATTTGCACTTTTTTACTCTAGTGCTAGTAATATCAAAAGCCCAGGAAGATATTTTGGCTTCCTTACAGAGTGAGAGCTCTTATGTGGAAATATGCTGGCGGCAGCCAGACTGAGACTCGGATAAAATAATCTTATTTGCTAAGGCTTCTAAAAGTATTCTGTACAGCTTATCTGAGAGATAAGTGGAGTGTGCAGACTGTGCAGAGGACTAATTAATTTGATGTTTTATATACGGATGTACGTGGACAGTATGTTTTTAAAATTAGATTTGTAATGGTTTTCAGTCAAAAATAACAAATTGCTATCTGACTGAGAATGGAACCAATTACTTAGAGGGCTGATCCCTTTCTCTGGATATCTTCAGAAAGAGACTAGGGCAATTACCTGCTTGGTTTACTTCAGCACAGCCATTCCCAACAGTTGGTTCTCCAGTTGTTTTGGACTTCAACTCCCAGAAACCCCAGCCATTTTACCAGCTGTTATGAATTGTGGGAGCTGAAGTACAAAACACCTATAGGACCAATGGTTGAGAACTACTTCTTTAATAGGAAATCCATGACTCATGATCCCCTTCCAACTGCATAATTCTTTGAAATACTTTCCTCACACTGTCCTTTACTACAAACATTCCAGTTTTTCTTGGCTCATTCCCTTCTTTTTTTCACAGTTCTGCCACAAAGAAAGATCTAATTGATAGTTGCACTAGGGCCGGAGACAAAATTTCTGCATTCAGGGGCAGCTGAAAGATTGCTTTCTCTCCCTCCCAGGAAAGATATTATGGCAACAGAATGACAATCCTATTTTGATTGTATGTGTTTTCAACCAAACTCCATTTTATGGCAGCTCTATCTTAGGGTTTTCTTGGGGTTCATTTTGGGGTTTGGGTGGTTTTCTTTTTATTGTATCTGTATTTCTTGTTTATCAAGGCAGTGAATGTTTGCCTTTTTGCGTATTGCATGTTGGAATCCGCCTTGAGTCCCCTTGGGGAGATAGGGCTGAATACAAATAAAGTTGTTGTTGTTATTATTATTATTATTCAGGTGAGCTTTGTCATTGCCTTTTTCTTAGGCTGAGAGTGTGGCTGAATAAGAACCTTAACCTTAACATGAGTTTTGGATTTGGGTTCCTGTGAGTTTTCTGGGCTGTATGGCCATGTTTCAGAATCATTCTCTCCTGACGTTTCACCTGCATCTGTGGCAGACATCCTCGGAGGTTATGAGATCTGTTGGAAACTGAGCATGAGTGTTGAGAGTCCTTCCTCTTAAAACAGGGTTCTGAAATATCCTTATGCAAAAAGGTCTAGCAGCAATGTACAGACTGAGACAACAAAGTTGGTAGCATGTTACCCCTTGCAAAACCCCTTTGTTTACTGATATTCCAGAGCAACAGCTCTGAGTGGTTATGTCCAAGGTGGGAGAAAGAACTCTTGTCTGTTTGAGGCAAATGTGAATGTTGCAATTGGCCACCTTGGTTAGCATTGAATAGCCTTGTAGCTTCAAAGCCTGGCTGCTTCTTGCCTGGGGGAATCCTTTATTAGGAGGTGCAAGCTGGCCCTGATTTGGATTTGCATTCTATTGTCATACTATTTTGATCTTTGTAGTTTGCGTTTTGGAGTATGGGATTTACAGATATAGGTATTCTGTTGCACGCATTTTATGTTGATGTGTTTTTGACTGCTGTACCCTGCTTTGCGTCATAAGGGGAGGCAAATAAATAGAATTTATTATTGTTGGGTTGTTGTAGGTTTTTTCGGGCTATATGGCCATGGTCTAGAGGCATTCTCTCCTGATGTTTTGCCTGCATCTATGGCAAGGATCTTCAGAGGTAATGAGGTCTGTTGGAATTAGGAAAAAGGGTTATATATCTGTGGAATGACCAAGGTGAGACAAAGGACTCTTGTCTGCTGGAGCTAGGTGTGAATGTTTCAACTGACCACCTTGATTAGCATATAATGTCCTGACAGTGCCTAGAGCAAACTTTTGTTGAGAGGTGATTAGATGTTCTTGTTTGTTTCCTCTCTGTTGTGCTACTGTAATTTTAGAGTTTTAAAAAATATTAACCCCTTTTCCTAGTTCCAACAGACCTCACTACTACCTCTGAGGATGCTTGCCATAGAAGCAGGCGAAACGTCAGGAGAGAATGCCTCTAGATCATGGCCATTATAGCCCGGAAAAACCTACAACAACCCAGTGATTCCGGCCATCAAAGCCTTCAATAATACATTTATTGTTGTTGTTGTAGGTCCCAGCTTTGTGATGTGGATTGCAGTCCACCAAAGCCCATGCTGCAACAAATATGTTAGCCTTCAAAAGTGGTTTTTTTTAAATGTGTGTAGAAAAGTATTAGAAATACAAATGTCAACATCAGAATAAACTGGAAGTTTGAATTGGGCTTGCTGGTGAGGTTAGTGCAAGTATAGTAAAATATTTCTGCCTGAAAATAGGTGCAAGGCTGCACAAAGTCTTAGCAAATCATATACAAACTGCACATCCTGAAGGAGGAAAGAAGTGGGTGGCAAACTTTCTCCTATCTCACAGAGGGATGACGTCACAGCGTTTCCTGCGGGGTGACGTCATGCCCCCCCCTCACCATGGAGGAAAGGCCAGGGGAGATGCTGCCCCACCTGCGGCCCGAGGATCCTGGCTCCTGGAGGACAGCGTGGAGGGCAGGCGCTTCTCTCCGTCTCTCGGGTTCCCTCTTTGGTCGCTCGGCAGGGATCCTGAAACAACCCACAACCCGCATCACTCCCGTCCTTCCTTCCACAGCTTTGCGTTTCCCGCCCGCCCGACTGGCTTTTCAGCCGCGCCGCCTGCCTCTCAAACTCACGATAGCCAACGCCGACTCTCATTTCGCTTCGTGTGCGCCCGCGCGCTCCTCGCCCCATTCAAACTGTCTCGCCAAACCGCCGCTCCGCCCACCGCTACCTGGCGTTGCCGGGCAACGGGTCTCCATAGCGACGGGGGGCGGGGCTGTGTGAGTGCCTGGCTGAGCATGTTGTGACGCGCAGGCCGGGTCGTGCGCCCCCTGGAGGCCTCGAGCCGTTCCCACAGGACTTTCCGTCCGGTTTTCGGAAAGCATTTGCACTGGCTGTTAAGAATTGTGGGAGTTGAAATCCAAAACACCTGGAGGGCCTAAGTTTGCTCATGCCAGTAGTAGAGACTTATTTATTTATTTACGATATTTATATCCTGCCCTTCTCACCCCGAAGGGGACTCAGAGCGGCTTACAAGTTATGTGTAAATACAATATATTATTAGCATAGCACAATATTAGTAACATAAGGTAAAGGTAGTCCCCTGACATTAAGTCCAGTCATGTCTGACTCTGGGGTGTGGTGCTCATCTCCATTTCTAAGCCGAAGAGCCAGCGTTGTCCGTTGACACCTCCAAGGTCATGTGGCCGGCATGACTGCATGGAGCGCCGTTATCTTCCCACCGGAGCGGTACCTATTGATCTACTCACATTTGCATGTTTTTGAACTGCTAGGTTGGCAGAAGCTAGGGCTGACAGCAGAAGCTCACGCCGCTCCCCGGAATCGAACCTGCGACCTTTCGATCAACAAGCTCAGCAGCTCAGTGCTTTAACCCACTGCGCCACCGGGGGCTCCCATTAGTAACATACATACCCATATATAGTTGTTATATTGTATTACTATTATATAATATTACTCGGCAAGTTTCAGGCATCAGCATCCTGGGTACCCATCGTGCACAGATCTTCCGACAGCCAAGCAAAGCAATAATGTGACCCACATGTTCTTGTGAAATGCCAATTATGCTTGAAATTTCTCTCTGAGCGATACAACGAACATCCTGAATCAATTTGTCAACCTTTTGCTTGTGAAACCCGGTGGTTGCTGTCACAGGACAGCCAACTCTTCGTTTGTCACGCAGGTCAGATGTTCCCACCTCAACACCTTTAAACTTAATCGCCCAATGACGCACAGTACTCACATCAACACAATCACCATAAACAGTTTGCATTCTCCGATGAATTTCCTTTGGGGTGACACCTTCTGCTGTCGAGAATTCAATGACTGCACTTTGCTTAAGAAGCATTGACCGACCGTCTGCGCAGGGTTCCATACTTTGCACTTTAACAACACAACCATTAAATGCTAAGGCTTCCCATCAAAATGGAACTGTAGAGGAGAGTCTACTGAACAAGTAGCCAACAATGAAAACACCAAGGCACTGACATACCAGGCCCATCCTCTGTTTGGATATCAGTCAGCATGCCAATGGCTTAAATCAAGAAACAGCTTCCTAAGATCCACAGATATACTCAGGAACACTTCAGCAAGAGAGAGTCCAAAAGTGGCAGGCTAAAACCCGGAACCTCAATAAGTGGCTTTTGTGTGTGTGTGTCAGGAGCAACTTAAGAAACTGTAAGTTGCTTCTGGTGTGAGAGAATTGGCTGTCTGCAAGAATATTGCCCAGGAGATGCCTGGAGATTTTTTTGATGTTTTATTCTCCTTGTGGGAGGCTTCTCTCATGTTCTTGCATGAGAGCTGACAGAGGGCGCTTAACCTACTCTCCCCGGATTCAAACTGCTGGTTAGTCGGTGGCCCTACCAGCACAAGGGTTTAATCCCTTGTGCCACTGGGAACTGAGACTAGATGAGAGATTCCCTCCTGGGTACAGAAAAGACTGGGAAATTTGGAAGGCGCTGAACAGACTGCACTCTGGCACCGTGAAATGCAGAGGCAACCTTAAGAAATGGGGCCACAAAATGGAGTCCACAGCATGTGAATGTGGAGAAGAGCAAACCATAGATCACCTACTACAATGCAGTGTGAGCCCTGCCACATGCACAGTGGAGGACCTTCTTACAGCGACACCAGAGGCACTCCAAGTGGTCAAAGGAAATCAAGCATAATGCCAGGTTTTTAACTTTGTGGTTTTAAAATAATTATAACTGTATTTTCAATTTGCTCCTCCTGACATGAGATACACACACATGCATATATATGTGTGTGTGTGTGTTTCAGTAAGGAGTTTATGGTATGGTATAGCGTGGGTATTATGCTTATTTTTAATATTTAAAAAGCACTTCAGCCAGAAATTTATTTTCCCCTGACATCTACCAATCTCTAAGGGTGCCAGTTAGCAGAGAGGATTATTTTCCTGTCATTAAAATGACTTGTGATGTGAATCCTGGAAACGGAAGATGACAACTAGTGTATGACATATGTTCTGTATCTCAAAAACTAGAGCTGATAATGGAAAACCATTTTTGGAATCACAGGTCAAAGTGCAAAATTAACTCAGCAGTTCGGATGCAGAATCTTGTTCTACCAAGCCAGTTTGTGCAGCCTTACTTAGTTTTGTGTATTCACAATGTAACACAATTTTTGATCCTGGGTTATAATGTGCATGTCATTTTGTAATTGGTTTTATCATAAAAACATGGAAAAAGTTTATTCAACTGCAAAAGCTTTTGTTTTATATCCTGTATAATTTTTTTTTGCTATAGTTCTTCTCAATGAATAGCTCATTGAATCTCAACCAATTCAACATAGTTTGTGGCAGCCACAATAAGGATTACTTTCAAAGTAAGCGCCATACAATTAAACAGGAAACAACACTTTCAAACCAGGAACAGAACATTTTGGAAATTTTGTTATTTCTCAGTTACAACTTTGGCCAACTTGATTATTCTCTGTTGTTGCTTGGCCACATATGTCCCCATTTTCATCCCGGAGTGTTGTGGTCCATTTGGCTCAGATGCTGAAATCGTGCCAGTGGCTGGACATACATAAAATTGAATCTGAGCTAAGCGCTGCTCTAGAGTCTCTTTAAATGACATGTCAAGCTTTCTAAATATGCCAAGTATGAAAAACAAGAGCCACTTCAGCTAGAAGTGCCTTTTCTTATGGCTCCATTAGGGCTAGCTTTAATGGAGCTGTAAGGACCTGGTGAAAGCTCAGCACTTTTGTGCAAGAGACACTTTGGCTTGTTGATGGCTGTGTTTTTACTATTTAACTAGTTGCTGATTTCAGTAAGTATAAAATTATGCAAACCATCTTTTAAATCTCTCGATTTTTGCAGGGAAGCTGTAGTTGATTAGTGTGTTAAAAATAAAAATAAAGGACTTATAAAAATGCCCAGTTTTTCTGAAATTTTGCAGAATGTTAGTTTTAAACCTGGTAACTCAACTTGATTTTTTAAAATTGGAAATAATAATAAAAGAATCTTGAGTGCTTGTTTTGAGCTGAAAGGGTTCTTGTCATTTAAGGCAAAGTATATCTAAATTCTCTTAGTATAGCTCTACGAAAAACTAATCCATATTACTGAAGTTCTGCTGCTCTCTCCAAATAATTCTAGCATTACAAAGAGGACCATGGTTAACAAGGCCCCTCTTAGACCTTTCCAGTGACAGCTGCAAAGTCACTGGGCTTATTCCAACAATATTACACAACAGCAAACATGTGCTGGCTTTATTTAGCACTCTGCCCCAAACTGTGGTCTTACAGGCACCTTGATCTCATACAATGTCCTGTGTGTTTATTCTGTAACTGGGAAAGGGCAAAGATAGCACAACACATTTTGACAGGTGGGCAGGACTTTCAAACAATGTGCATGTTGGCTATATCAACACTATAGAACTGACACTGTTTGACACTCCTTTAACCGCCTTGGCTCAATGCTTTGGATTCATAGGAGTTTCCGTTGGGTGACGCACCAGCACTGCTTAGCTGAGAAAACAAAAGACCTTGGAAAACTCTAAAAAGTTACAGTGTCTAATCTCCTTTTTGGGGGAAAGGTAATTCAGAGGCAGTTGCTCTCCAACTCCAAGCGGTCTTGGATGACGCACACCTCCTTGACCCATTTCAAACCAACTTCAGACCTGGAAACGGAGTTGAGACTGCTATGATCACCTTAGTGGATGATCTCCATCTCAACACCAACCAGGGATTTGTGTCTCTGTTGGTGTTTCTGAACCTCTCAGCAGCTTTTGATACCATCGACCATGGAATCCTTCTGGAATGCCTGGAGGGGCTGGGAGTCAGAGGCACTGTGCTGTAGTGGTTCCGGTCATCCCTCTCAGGCAGGTTCCAAATAATGGTTCTTGGGGATAGCTGCTCCTCAAAAAAAGGAGGTATTATGTGGTGTCCCACAAGGTGCCATTTTATTCCCAATGCTTTTTATTATTTACATGCAGCCACTGGGAGAGATCATCCGTAGGCATGGGGCAGGGTGTTATTGGAGTGCTGATGACACCCAAATGTATTTCTCCGTGCCTTCAAAAACAGCTTCAGCTAAGGATAGCATGTCTTCTTTGAATGAATGCCTGCAAGAGGTAATGGGCTGGATGAGGAAAAACAAATTGAAATTGAATCCAGACAGAACAGAGGTGGCTGCCATCAAGGGTCCTAATGTGGGGATGGAGGTGTGTCAACCAGTTCTGGGTGGGGTTACACTCCCCTCTGAAAGACTGTGTTTGCAGCTTGGGAGTGCTCCTGGATCCATCTCTCCAAGTGTCAGCCCAGGTAGGTGTAATGGTTTACTATCAGCTTTGGGTAATACACCAGCTGTGCCTCTTCCTAGATTTGGATGACCTAAAGATGGTAGTGCATGTTCTGGTAACCTCAAGGTTGGACTTCTGCAATGTGCACTACACTGGGCTACCTTTGTACCGAGTTTGGAAATTCCAGCTGGTTCAAAATGCAGCGGCCAGATTGGTTCCAAGAACATCTTGGAGTGGGAATATTACACCTATCCTAAATTTACTCCACTGGCTGCCAATCAGTTTCCAGGCAAAGTACAATGTGTTGGTTTTGACCTTTAAAGACCTACATGTTTTAGATCCAGGTTACCTACAGGATCGCCTTCTCTCGTACAAGCCGCTCCAAACACTTAGGTCCTCTGCGGGATGTCTGCTCCAGCCTGCCAGCCTGGCAATCACCACCCAGAGGACTTTTACATCAGCCGCCCCAAGATTGTGAAACCGACAGTTGAATCAGCTGTTGAAATTTAAGACACAAGTGTAGACCTTATCTATTCTGACAGGCCTTGAATTTTAAGCTTCTGCTCTATGTCTGACTTTTGTTTTTTGTATTTTATGGAATATGTTTTAATGTGTTCTACTGAGTGTTTTAAATGATTATGGTTTGATCATGTGTTTTAGCAATGTTGTAACCTACCTTGAGCTGTGAGGAGAGGTGGGTAAGAAATAATAATAATAATAATAATAATAATAATAATAATAATAAAGACTCTGGCGCAATCCAGTCAAGGTGGACCCAGTGGTGATTGGCACACTGGGTGCAGTGCCTAAAGACCTTGGCCTGCACTTAAACACAATCAGCGCTGACAAAATTACCCTCTGCCAGCTGCAAAAGGCCACCTTACTGGGATCTGCATGCATTATTCACCAATACTTCACACAGTCCTAGACACTTGGGAAGTGTCCGACGTGTGATCCAATATAACAGCCAGCAGAGTGATCTTGTTGTTGTGGACTCATCTTGTATTTCTAATAATAATAATAATAATAATAATAATAATAATAATGGCTATCTCTACCATAAGGAACAATTAAAAACCACTCCTCACAGAGATATATTTATTTAATCAGATTTCTTTGCTATAGGAAAGTATCAAAGTGTACATCTGTGCTTTATTTTTAGCTCTGCTTAACTGGACATGTTTCCATCAGTCAGTTTTCTCCATTGTCACAAATGAGATAGACAATGAAGGCAGTGTAGATTAGTGTGGTCATCTGTGTAGCAGAACTCCAAATCTAGCCATTGTACTTTAGGCTGTTGGAAGCAACTGATCTGCTGTCTTACAAGGATAGCTATCAGAGTTCATTTCTCACCCTACATCTGCCTCAGTCTCTGTATTTAATTTGCTAGATGACAACACTTCAAATGCCATGTGTATTGAGCAAGGTCTCCTGGCACACAACCCCAACGTGGTTCACATAACTCTTGCTAAGGATGTCTCACTGAGAAAACTGATATGCTCCGGTAACTTTAGTCTCTAAATCTTTTTTGTAATTTCCCTGGAGAACCGAATCCATGATATAAAGTTTGCAGCCTTCAAACAGGGCATTTGAGGACTGGGACTTTTCCTTCAACTGAAGGTACAGATTATATCAAAATGTTAGTATTAACTGTCAAAACATGAAATAAAACTATTTTCAAGTATTTGGCATCTTATTAAGGAGCAGTCTTGCTACTGATTTCACTATATACATTTTTTTAAACTCAGGTTTTCTTCTAAAGAGATGACATTTATAACACTACTCCTTATTTAGGAATATTGCTTCTCTACACTATGTTTTTTAAAATAATAATCTTGTATTCTTGAATGCAGCCACTGATTTTGGATATGAATGTGATATTGAGCAAAGCAATAATGTGACCCATACGTTCTTGTGAAATGCCGATTATGCTTGAAATTTCTCTGAGTGATACAACGATCATCCTGAATCAATCTGTCAACCTTTTGCTTGTGAAACTTGGTGATTGCTGTCACAGGATGTCCAACTCTTTGTTTGTCACGCAAGTCAGATGTTCCCACTGCAACATTTTTAAACTTACTTGCCCAACGACGCACAGTACTCACATCAACACAATCACCATAAACATCTTGCATTCTCTGATGAATCTCCTTTGGGGTGACACCTTCTGCTGTCAAGAATTCAATGACCGCACGTTGCTTAAGTCGCATTGACTGACCGTCTGCGCAGGGTTCCATACTTCACACTTTAACAATACAACCATTCAATGCTAAGGCTTCCCGCCAAAATGGAACTGTAGAGGAGAGTCTCCTGAACAAGCCAGTACCTGCCGCATACCAGTACTGCCATTTGTTGAGTTTCAAAGGTGGAGGCATTACTTTCATTCAACCCTTGTTTGGAGAAACAAGCAATGACGGTAATAGCATGGTTGCAGGATATAAAAGCAGATGTAAAGAAACTTCAGTGGCTTGATCGTTGAAGGGTAAAGATACATGGAATAAAAAGATTGTTTACCACCATGTAAGTTCTGTTTTTAACCTATCACTGGTTTCTAGTACACCATCCGGTTAAATGCTGATATGTGGGCCTTTCCTCTCTGTGTTTGCAGATATCCCAGATCCAGCTGCTACTTGTACTTCCTTCTCTTCCTCTGTTCATGTCTCCCTGGGTTGACATGTGTTTTGTAGCTGGATTGGAAGAGTCAAATGCAGCGTGTTGTGGAACAACACAGCAGAAGTGTCACTGGGGGGTGCAAAATGCACCAGGTGACACCATCGAAGTGAGTGGCACCAACATGATTATCTATATTTTTGTGCTGTATTTCAGCAGAAATTTATTACTTTATTTTTAAAAATCTCTAGAGTTACACACAACCTCAAAACTGTTTTCCGTAAGTCCAGATCACATGTACTCTATCGATATACCCACAGGACTAAAACTCTATGCAAATTCACTTTCTGAACCAAATTTACTCTCTGAACCTTTTAATGCATATATGCTTCAGTCAGAGCTGTCACTATTATACAAGTACAATGATGCTTTGAATCATGTAGTTTCATCTGCACATACTACAAGCATGTGTTGGTTTTTTTGGGGGGTGTTGTGTAGTTTCCAATTTGTATGGCCGAGTTCTAGCAGCATTTTCTCCTAACCTTTCATCGTTGATATGATCAGTGGACTAATCAATAAATAGATCTATCTATCCCGACATTTTGCCTGCATCTGTGGCTGGAATCTTCAGAGGAGATGCCAGCCACAATGCAAACAAAATATCAGGAGAAAATGCTGCTAGAACATGGCCATACAGCCCGGAAACCACATGCGGAAGCCTTTGACAATACCTTGGATTTTTTTTGTTGGGTTTTTATAGTTGTTGATTTTGTAAAATCGTCTGGCATTTTAGCCACAACATTGCAGTATAGGAGGAAATCCATGGAGGTGTCACCATGAGTTACTGCAGTGCATGGCATCAACCCTAGTGATGCCACTGCAACTCAGCAGGCAAGAGAGCAGATGTGCAAAAGCTCTTTGGCTATATGAGAAATAGATGCCAGTACTAAAAAGGAGACTCATACAATATGCATAGTGCTAAGCATTCTTTATATAATGTATCTGCCTTGAGCTTATGGAATTTGTCTTCCCGGACCATATGCTTTGTGCAGCTATGGGCTGGGTCCCTTCTTATGGGATATCAGACCAAAAATGAATGTGAAAATCTGGACCAAACTATGGTTCTCTCACTGTAGAATGCTCTAAGTAAACACACAAGGACTCAGCTGCTGTTTAATATTATCTTCATTCAGATTACAGTGGCAGGCACGGCGGCAATATTTTTGAAAACTCTTCCACATACATATATATACACACTAACATGACCTCTAAGAAATATCCTTTCCCAACTTTTCCATCCCTCTCCCAATTTTAAAAGAGCAATTATGCTGGATTCAGGCAGTTGCGTTGTTGGTGTAAGCTGATAACGCTTGTATGTGCGCATACAGGTATTGGCATCTCCAAACAGTTAAGCCTTGGGATAAACAGTGACGGCTTCGTATCCCTCTGGGGGCCTCATGCGAGCCCTTGCGTGGGTTTCACAGTATAGCTGGCCCTCCACAAAGAAGTAGCCTTTCTGCTTCAGGTTCAGGTTGCAGTCAGAGCACACAAAACATTCGGGGTGCCTGTATTTATCTCGCGCTTTGACAACTGGGCCGCTGCATGTAAAAAAAAAGAGCATCAATAAAATCAATAAGCTACAATTTAATAAAGATATTATAACTTTGATATCGGAATAAAAAAAAACACAGCCATATCTCTCTGGAACATCAGTATGCAAAGGGATCTCAAAGCACCTTAGAGACTTCAAGAACAAAACTGGTGGTATAAGCTTTCATACACTGAGATGTATTTGAAGATGTAGACTTAGTCTATGAAAGCTCATGTTATTAGCTTTGTTCTTTTGACCCCTAATAGGGTCCCCTTAGCTCAATGCTGGGATCACAAAAAGTTTGCCAATAATGAAAGATTTCTGAACACCACTTAGTGGCTATTTTAGACATTACATGGATCTATTGGCAATAAAATGCATTGTTTACTGTGGACATTGCTGCAAATGCTTCAGCTATCTATACACATCTATATAAATAAAAATGTAATGTTCGTTTGTGGGATTAACATAACTCAAAAGCCACTAGACGAATTGCTGCCAAATTTGGCCACAAGACACCTACTAACCCAAGGAGTGACCATCACTCAAAAATTGATTTTATCATTTGAGTGTTGTAGTTGCTGGGATTTATAGTTCACCTATAATCAAAGAGCATTCTGAACTCCACCAATGATGGAATTGAACCAAACGTGGCACACTCTACTCCCAAGACCAACAGAAAACAGTAGAAGGGTCTGGTGGGCATTGATCTTGAGTTTGGGAGTTATAGTTCACCTACATCCAGAGAGCACTGTGGACTCAAACAATGATGGATCTGGGCATTCTATATTTTTATATGCCCAAATATGAACACAGATGGAGTTTGGGGGAAATAGACCTTGACATTTGGGAGTTGTAGTAGCTGGAATTTATAGTTCACCTACAATCGAAGAGCATTCTGAACCCCACCAATGACAGAATTGGGGCACACTTCCGACACAGAACCCCCATGACCAACAAAAAATACTTAAGGCCATCCAGTCCAACTCCCTTCACCAGGGCAAGAAA